GAGCCGCTGCCCCGCTCCGCGGCCGCGCTCGTGCCGCAGCGGCGAGGCAAGGCCAGCTGAAATGAGCACTGACGCGACTCTGACGTTTTTATACCGCGGGTTATTTTATGAAGCTATCCAGCAGCACCGGCGATGCGCGCGGGAGCGCGCCCGCGCGCGGCCTTGTCAGCATGCCCTACATCAAGGGGGAGCGGGGCCGGGCGCGCTTCGCCGCCGCGACGTGTTTCGGAGGCTGATGAATGCTTCTTTCCGCACGGCTTTAAAATCTCCTTTGCTGTCAGCTCCCAGGGCGGCCTGGAAACAGATGCGGCCGCGCGAGCGAGCGGAGGAGCGAAAGCAGCAGCCGCTGGTGCCTGGGGTGGGGACACGGGGGCAGAAATAAAGCAGGGGGAAATCGGGGTTTTGCTGGAACTTTTTTAAGGTGTGCGCAGGGTGGGAGCGCGCGGGGTGGCTCGTTGTTCCCAAATGGCAGCGGCAGGAGCGGGAAGGCTCTTGCTGTGCGCTTGGCTCGCGATGCCGATGGGTTGCGTGCGCAGGCGGCCCTGGACTCGTTGGTCCTAACTACTGATAGGACAAGAGGAAATGGCCTTAACTTGCACCAGGGGAGCAGGTTCAGTTCGATATTAGGAAAAATGTCTCCATGGGGAGAGAGGTGAAGCATTGGAACAGGCTGCCCAGGAAAGCGCTGGAGTCACCATCCCTGGCCGTGCTCTGGACACGTGTGGATGAGGCGCTTAGGGACAAGGTTTAGCAGGATGGTGGGGATGGGTTTGCGGTTGTTTCAATGATCTTGAAGGTCTTTTCCAACCGTAATGATTCTATGATTCTGGGCACCACCTTTCCGCTTGGGAAAGGCTCTGGAGCTTCAGCCGCTCTCACCCGCGCTCTTCCTTTCCGCAGGTGGATCCGCGCGGAGCACTTCAAGTACAAGTTCAGCCGGCCCGGGGGCAAGCACGCCGGCGAGGGCAAGTGGTGGATCCGCAGGGGGTTCGGGCCCTACCTGCCCCCCGTGAGCCTCGAGGGCCTGCGCAAGTTCTACGAGGAGCGGCGCTGGCCTCACCCCGCGCGGGGCTGACGCGGCGCCCGGCCTCCCCGCGGGCTCCTCTGCGACCTGCCCTCGCTCACGCGGGTTTTGCGGTGGGTTTCCAGCCCCCCTGTCCACCTGCTGCTGTGCTCCCTGGTTTCTCATCTCTCTGGTCCCTTGTCCCTTGTGGGCTCTCGGTGTCCCCACGGGGGGACTCAGTGAGCTGGAGGTGCCCCCTGCCCTCGTCCCCAGGCTGGCACCACAGACCATGGCCCTGCTTCAAGAAGAGGACAGGGGGCCACGTGGCAAGGTGGGATTAAATCCAGGGAGCACACCCGGATTAAAACCCTGGGATAACGGCCCCTGCCTGGCACTTGGGAATCCTTTCCCATTCCCTTCCACTTTTCCTTTCCTCTTCCCTCCTCCTTCCCCTTCTATTTTCCCGTCATGGCTGGGAGATATTGCATTTGAATGCATGTTATATGTTCCATATACACTTGAGGAAGGTGCATGCAGGGATTTAAATTGGAAACGTGTCTCTGGGACAGAGATGGCGCCTGCGCTTGGGCCGTCTCTTCCCCTTCTGCCAAGATCGCGGCATTCCCAGGACGTGAGTATCCCACGGCATTCCCAAGCCCGTGGCCACCAACACCTAGAGCTATCCCTGTATCCAGGGAGCAGGACGCCTTATTCCTGCAGCATTAATGAGAGTAAGTGAGCACCAGCCTGGAGTTCACAGAGAAAATATTCCCGTGCCTTCCCTCCTCCGCGCTGCTCTTGGAAGCTGGCTTTACTTTAATATATATTAAAGGAAAGAGCTCTTTTCCTTCCCAGTAGATTAAGTTTGGCTAAACAATTCAGTGTGAACTGCTGGGCATGAGGCAGAAACCTGTAGGCTAAATTGCCCAGCTGCTATACGTTTAGACCGGCATGGGATGAATTTCAGGATCGTATATTGGTTTTCATTTAATCTGATTATTCTGGACTGGAGTTCCTGGAGGGTCTTCAGGTTATTGTCAGTCAAAAGAATCCTTAAGAGCTTCCATTTGCAGTCAACTTTTCCCATTAGGAGTCTATTTTCATTACGGATGGATTTTTATTTTAGTGAAAAAATGATTCCTGCCCCTGCATTTTTCCCTTTGCAGCCAGGGTCGGGAGCAGAGCGGTGGCAGCTCCGTCCCGCTCCGCTGTGGGATGTGTGTCCAGGGAGGGGTGCAAGGGCCCAAGGATCCAAATTTTCCTCCTCTCATGAGGTTTTGGCTCAGTTAAAAGGGATGGGGCAGAGTATGAGGTGGGAAACAGAGCAGCCCCTCTCTAACCTGCCCTGTTCTCCTAAAAATCCCCCTCGCTTGCCTGGGAAAATGCTCTAAGTGGCTCAAATCCTGGGGGTTCCTGGAGCGATGCTCCCCAGGACTAATGCAGAACTAAGTGGCCTTTAAAGCCTGGCGCGGGATGGCTCCCGGTCACTGTGCGGAATTAGTGACCCGCTCGTTCCCATCCGTCACCTCCTTGGATCGCTCATCGGGGCAGTCCCTTTCTGCCTGGTTGGAAGTGTGGGAATCTGGGGGCTCTTCCTGCAGCGCTCGTGGACCCCAAGCTGCTCTGCAGCCAAGAGCTGGTCCCTGTGCCAAATTCCCAGGAGTGAGTGGGATTTGGGATTTTGCCCTGCCTTTCCCATCGCTCGGATCCCCCCCGATCCGGCTTCCTCCGCGGTAGCCGCTGGGGATAATGTTGCCTGTTGCTGCGCATTATGGTGCAGGCAACTGTTGCTGAAACCATTACGTTGAAATCCCACCACCTGCAAGCGGTTACTTGGAATAATAAATAAGTGACGGATTTGGGAATCGCGCGCTGGCGGCGGATGAGGTCACCGCGGCACCGAGTCCGGGCCCAGCGCGAGAGCTCTTGTACCGGTCAATAAAAACGTTGTCGAGATTAAAGAATCAATTAGGCGTTAGCCAAAGGGGCCAACGCATAACCCAAACACGCTGATAAAATCCAGCAGGTGATTATGGGGACGGTTCTTATTTCCTTGTGCTTTTAAATGGAATAATTGCTCGTTACAAGGTGCGGATCGGCCCGGCCGGGATATTTCCCTGGCACGCAGGAGGAGCTGGGATGCAGCGGTGCTCGCAGCATCCTTGGATGTGTTCAGCTTCCACGGAGCCGGGGCCGGAGCTGCCGCGGGAGACCCGGAGCTGCGTGGGGCTGTGGCTGCGTGTACAGAAAGGTACAGATAAAGGAGGAAAGGTGGAAATTCCAAATGCAAAATGCCCGGGTGTCCGCGCGGAGCCGGCCGGGCAGTTTCAGACACGTGTCCTGCAGGGGACCGAGCTTCTTGACCACGTTGGCAGGTTTCCAGAGGCCAGGAGTGAGTCTGGCCGCTGGCACAAGGACACCCCCACCCCAGCATCCCTGGGTTGGAAATCCTTATTACAGAGGGTCACCTTGGGGCTTGTGAGCAGAGCACCATGCAGCAGAGCCCAGCGGAGCCACAGGCACCAGCTGCCACTGCGCTCCGAGAGCTGCCCCTTGCATGGGGGTCTGCAGCGGAAAAAAGAGGGAAAACCCACCCCGGAGCAAGGGCTGTGCAGGCCCCCGACTACACTGCACCTCGAGAGCAGGGAATCTGGAGATTACACATGGCAGATGTCTGCTCTTTCTGCACGTGCAGCCTCTGAGCAAGCAAGTAAAATCCAATCTTTTGGGGGGAAAAAAGCATTTAGGGATGTATACATTAGAATGCTTCCAAATATTGACCACACGGCCCTCTGTTTGCCATGAAAATTCACGCGCGGCACCAGCTCCCGTCCACAACGCGGATGCGCCCGGGAATGCGGCCGGTCACAGCCTTGCTGCCGGGGGAGGTCACAGCGAGCTGACGTGTACTAGCGTGTGTTAGTGTGCACTAGCATGTGCTAGCGTGTGTTAGCATGTACTAGCGTGCGTTAGCGTGTGTTAGCATGTCCTAACATGTGGAAAACATGTGCTCCCTGTGTGGCACCGGCCTCTCCTGGAGCGCAGTTTGGGCAGAACAGGGCAATCCCCAAAGCATCTGCAGGGCTCGATAGCCCAGGGGCTCTGCTGCACATTTTTTTCTTCCCCTGTTAACCGAGAATGTTTGGTTTTCTAAGGATTTTGTAAGGATTAATGCTTCGGAAATAGCCGCTCGGGAGGCTTTTTGCACTCATTTTTTAAGAAGTTTGCCCTCCTGCAGGCACCCTGAGCCTTGGGCTTGTTTGGAAGGCAGTGCACGTGCAAGGAGTGATGCTCGCGGATGGACATCCCAGCATCCAGAGACCATGCGGGTCCTCGCTGTGCCCCATGGCCGCCTGGCATCAGGAATCCTTTATTTTCCCACCTTTTTCTCTCTTTTTTCCCCTCCTTTTTGCAGGTTGTCTCCCAGCAGATTGTGTCGCAGCTCCAAGCAGACTGACTGCTTCTAGTGGGTGTGTTTAGGAAGGGGTATTTCAGGAAGGGGTATTTCAGGAAGGGGTATTTTATGAGCCGCTGCCTGTCCATCCAGGAGGGAATTTCCCCCCGTTAGAGCCAGCCCGGCGGGAGCAGCCGGCTGCCCGCCCTGGGCTACGGCATCTCCTGGCCTCTGTTTTTCCACGTGCACAAAGAAGGCGAGTTAAAAAGGACGCCCGAGGCTCCCCGGCCTGCGCCAGCCTCTTGCAGAGCTAATGCTGGCCAGCTGCGGAGCTCAGCCCGTCCGGCCGCGCTGCCGACGGCCGCAGCGTTGGGAAGGGCCGAGCGCCCGCGGTTGGGGCCAGAGCCGGCGTGGCCGCCGCCGGGAATAGGGTTTTCCATAGGCAGGGAAGCAGCCGGAGTCGCCCCCGCCGGAGCCATCTCAGGTGGTGTCTGCACGCTGCTGGCATCAGCTGCGAGCGCAGGCATCCCGCATCCTGCATCCCGCATCCTGCATCCCGCAGGGAAGCAGCCAGGTGCAGAGCTGCAAACTGCAGCAAAGAGCCCAAAGGGTGACGGGGAGCCCTGCGGTTCCCCCGTGCTGCCGGCTCCTCGGGATGCAGCGATGCCAGGCAGGGCCCCCGCATCCCAGATACCCCACGTGGGAAGCGATCCACACGGCACATCCAACCCAGGTCTCTCCCTGCGGGCTGCCCCGTCTTTCCTGTTTACTTGTTATTTTGGAAACGGAACAATAAATAATTTGTGGGCGACGGGTTGGCGCGCGGCCGCCGTGTCCCTTGAAGCCGCGATTCCCTGGCCGAGTGTCAGGGCAAAGGGCCAGGAGCACCCAGGAGCATCCGACGGAGCCCGCAGCACCTCTCCCAGCGGTGGGATAGCGCGAGGGCAGGGGATCCGTGCGGCTCCTTCCGGAGCATCCCGGTACCTGCGGGGCAGCTCTCGCCTCCGCTCCGATCCCGCTCCGAGCCCGGCTGGGGCGACCGCCCCGCGCAGCTGCACCCGCATTATCGGCATTTGCATCTCAATGGGGCCCTGATTAATATTTAAGGAGCCAGCTGTCTGAGGCACCTACGAAAGGGAAAAAAAACCACATTATTTATTTATTTATTATTTTTAGGGATAGCACTTACTGCCCTTTATCAAGGATGCTGCTTTTTTTGCCCTCTATTCTTTTCTTCAATAGAAAAAGAAAAATGCTGGGGATGGGGATGGGAAATATGAAACGCCGTTAATGAGTTATCAGTGAATTAGTTGTGCAGCTCTCAATGCTCCTCAGTCCTTTTGTGCCGCAGCTGCACGGAGCAGGTTTTTAAGGGCAGGAGCTGCTCCGAGCCCATGGGAACCGCAGGGATGGGGGGATCGGAATCGGCGCCAGGAATCCGGAGCGAGCAGCGCTGCTAAAGGAGGGAGCTTTGGAGATGCCTTCGGGGAAGGGATGAGGGTGTCTTGTGCTAAACGCGGTGCTCCGACGGGCGCCTTCCCGCCGCAATTCCCAGGGATTGCTGATCCTGCTGGATGGAGCTGGCAGCTCCCCTTGCAAGCCCAGGAGAAGCTCCCGGTGTCCTGCACCCCCATTGCAACCCTGGGAAAGGCTCCCAGTTTGCAGCACCCAGAGCTGC